AAAGGTAAGCTAAGTTCCTCTTTACATTCCTTTAACACCCTTGCAAACAGTTCATCAGGGCCTGGGGATTTGTTAGGTTTTAGTTTCTCTATTTGTCTGAGGACCATGTCACTAGTTACCACAATCGTACATAGTTTATTATCCTGTTCTATATAATCTATTATTTTAGGAATATCGCTAGTATTTTCCTGGGTGAAAACTGAGAGGAAGTAGGTATTGAGAATTTCATACATATCCTTATCACTCTCAGTGATCTGACCAGAGTTACTCTTAAGTGGGCCAATCTTGTCCCTAATCTTACTTCTGTATACCTGAAAGAACCCTTTTGGGTTAGTCTTTGAATCCCTTGTGACCTTAGTCTCATAATTCCTTTTTGCTTTTCTTATTCCTTTATTTCTCTCTTTAATTGAATATATTGATTTCTTAACTCCCCCTCCCCTCTTTTGATACGCCTATATATGCCTCTCTTTTGACCAATGAGATGTTTTAATCTATTGTTCATCCATTTGGGATCATTTTTGTTAGATCTAATTTCCCTACTCGGAACAAAAGTTGTCTGGGCAGCTAGAACTATGCTCTGAAAAACGTCATATTGGCAACCAAGATCACCTACCTGACCCATAGTCAGGACATCCCAATTTAGCCCACCCAGGTAATTTTTCAGTCCCATGAAGTCGGCCAAGTGAAAATCTGCGACAGAGATTTGATTGCAGTTATCTTTGTAATAACATGATATATTGAAACTAAGTGATATGTGATCACTTTTCCCAAGCTCATCATTAACCTCAAGATTATTAATTAGTGAATCTTTGTTGGCAAGAACCAAGTCAAGCAGATTGTTTCCTCTAGTTGGTTCTGTCACAAACTGTTCTAAAAAGCAATCCTGAACCGTATCAAGAAAGTCACTAGACTCAAAATTTCCTGTCATATTGTTCCAATCAATTTGTCTAAAGTTAAAATCTCCCATTATCACAACATTTTCATATCTAGATGCCTTATGAATTTCGTCCCATAACAGCTTACTGAACTCCCTATCAAGGTTTGGGGGCCTATAAATCACACCCAAAATTAATTTGTCACATCCTTCGAGAAACTGTAGCCAAACAGATTCTGTGTTCGATGTTTCTAATCTTATATCATGTCAAAGACAACAATTTAAATTTTCTCTGAAGTACATCGCCACTCCACCACCCTTCCTGTTGACCCTATCAGTGTGGAATAGTTTATAACCCTCTATGTTGCATTCAGAAGGCATTTCTCTATCTTTCACGTTGAACCAGGTCTCTGTTATACCAATAATATCTATATTACCTGCACTTTCAAGTAATCTTAGCTCATCTGTCTTATTTCTTAGACTCCTACTATTTGTATAGTAAATCTTAAGGGAGCTAGTTACTCGTTGCTCTCTACTATCTTTCATTGTTTGTTGATCAATTGCTTTGCCATTACTAGCAACTTCATTTTGAATATTGTCTTTTAAACATATCCCTGAGGTATCCCGGTAATAACTGCTGTTTTTAACCCTGATGCTGCAACCTGATTGTTTCCCACAAACACCCATACCTCTATATTCTATCAGGAGATTGTCCCCAAACACTTGAGAGGTGCAGTAGAAGCTGAAGACCCCAGGTTCATTGAAGCAGCTGTGCAGTGGGACCCGTTGCAGACTCTTCCAGTAGACCAGCTCCTCCCAGAGAGCACAAAGAGTCCCACCGGGACAAACCAATCATTAAAAAAAATCGCCAACACATTGCTCACCAATGCTTCAGGAAAGGACAAAGCTCATCTCCAAGTGGTGAAGGCACCACATTCAGGAAATTTCCCTTTAGCTGTTCCCAATTCCTCTCTGGGCACTCGACTCGACCCACATGCCATTCGGTTTGGTGTTGCTCTTCACTTAGCCGCCCCCATACTCACCGAACAGAGATGTATTTGCAGCATGGCGATGGCTGATCAATTCGGACTTCATGGTCTCGTGAGTCACACATCAAAAGGGAAGTATGCTAGACACGAGGTCAACGGTATCATAAAGAGAAGCCTCGCCACAGCCCGTTGCCCAGCTCAATGGGAACCCAAAGTACAGAGGTCTGATGGAAATCTAAAGCATCCTGATGGAGCCACTATGCTACCCTGGAAGGATGGTAAGGAGATTGCCTGGGACTACACCTGTGCCTCTACATTGGCAGACACCTACTTGCCATACTCTGCAGGTAAAGGGGGGTGGAGCCGCCAGCTGCAGAGAGACCCAGAAGGCCCACAAATATGAAGACCTTCCCCCTTGATATAATTTGATCCCAGTAGGGTTGGAGACCCATGGAGTATGGGGCAAATGTGCTCTAAAGTTCCTCAAAGAGCTGGGTGAAAAACTCATCACAGAAAGCAAGGATCACAGAGCGGCCAGCTTCTTTCAGAGACTCAGTGTTGCGATCCAGTGGTGAAATGCCTGTAGCATTCTGGACACACGGCCCACTCCTGGTGGGCTAGACAAAGTATTCGAGATATAGCTCTGAGGTGTTATGTATGTTGTTCTACTCCCTACTGTATTTTTGTCAATGTATTTTGTCTTTAATAAAATCTACTTAGAATATAGAATATAGGGGGTGGTAGGAGAAGACAATATTCAAACAACTCCTGGAAGAACCTTGAGTTTTCCCTGAAGTAAATTTATTCTTTTCTCTGAGGATGAGGGTCCTCATCACTGTTGCAGAGGTGGTACATCCCTATACGTATATATATATATATATATAATATATATATATATATATATATATTATATATATATATATATATTATATATATATATATATATATATATATATATATGTGTGTGTGTGTGTGTGTGTGTGTGTGTGTACTCACCTATTTGTACTCACCTATTTGTGGTTGCAGGGGTCGAGTCCTAGCTCCTGGCCCCGCCTCTTCACCGGTTGCTACTAGGCCCTCTCTCTCCCCGCTCCATGAGCTTTATCAAACCTCGTCTTAAAACTGTGTATGGTTCCTGCCTCCACTACGTCATTTTCTAGGCTATTCCACTGCCTTACAACTCTATGACTGAAGAAATACTTCCTACTATCTCTCTGACTCATTTGTGTCTTCAACTTCCAATTGTGGCCTCTTGTTTCTGTGTCCCCTCCCTGGAACATCCTGTCCTTGTCCACCTTGTCTATTCCACGCAGTATTTTATATGTCGTTATCATGTCTCCCCTGACCCTCCTGTCCTCCAGTGTCGTCAGGCCGATTTCCCTTAATCTTTCTTCATAGGACATTCCCCTTAGCTCTGGAACTAACCTTGTTGCAAACCTTTGTACTTTCTCTAGTTTCTTGACGTGCTTTATCAAGTGCGGGTTCCAAACAGGTGCTGCATACTCCAGTATGGGCCTGACATACACGGTGTACAGTGTCTTGAATGATTCCTTACTAAGGTGTCGGAATGCTGTTCTCAGGTTTGCCAGGCGCCCATATGCTGCAGCAGTTATCTGATTGATGTGTGCTTCCGGAGACATGCTCGGTGTTATACTCACCCCAAGATCTTTCTCCTTGAGTGAGGTTTGCAGTCTTTTGCCACCTAGCCTATACTCTGTCTGTGGTCTTCTGTGCCCTTCCCCTATCTTCATGACTTTGCATTTGGCAGGATTAAATTCAAGAAGCCATTTGCTGGACCAGGTGTCCAGTCTGTCCAGGTCTCTTTGAAGTCCTGCCTGGTCCTCATCAGATTTAATTCTCCTCATTAACTTCACATCATCTGCAAACAGGGACACTTCTGAGTCTAACCCTTCCGTCATGTCGTTCACATGTGTGTGTGTGTGTGTGTGTGTGTGTGTGTGTTACAAAAAACGCAATATCTAATAAGCATAGAGATCTCCAGTGAATACTAGAAAGGTCTGCCCTTCTAGCATCCAGCCTATTACTGGGTTTTTGTAACAAGTAGTCAGTATCCTGGTCCAATTATCCATTAGAATTAAATAGTAAGATTCAATAGTGCTTCAGGATTACAACTGGTAGGCTACTAACTAAAGAAATTAAAATTTAATACGTTTATTAATAACAATAAAGTTGTCTAGATGTATAATATCAAAGTAAATTAACGTGATCAATTGAATATAATATAGAATAAAAGTTCCTGCACTTCTCTCGTGTACAGTAGTATTGTGCTGAAGACACATATCACATCTTTATGGCTTTTAGTACCGTCTGGTACATTGTTAACATTTAATAACATAATACATATATATATACAAGTAAGTTTGTGTGTATGTGTGTAAGTGCTCCAAGTAGTTCGCTATGTCTCAAGACTCGACTAGACTTAACCAGTGACTGACTAAAAGTCCTCATATAAACTAACTTCTTGACCAACCTGGCAATCAGAACAGCTTGCTTGAACAATAAAACGACTGATAAGCCGAATGGCAATATAACAAGCAACAGTGACACAGAATCAGGAACAAGGAGATAATATAACGACACTAAGTAGAGACCATCTGCAGATCCTCCACAAAAGTCACAAAACTCCCATACTACTGAATCTAAGTTCAGCAGTAGAAAATCCCCGACTGTGACAATACACAGATACCAGTACAAATTAGGTCAGAAGCTACAGCTCAGGACCTGAGTTTCTCAGAGTGTCTATGAGACACACAACCTCAGTACAACGTCGACAATCACTAAGTCTAGACAATGTTCTGTGAACAGAGTTACACAGAACCAACAACAAGAAAGTGACAGAGACGTTCTTCCAACAAATAATAATATAAAGCAATATATTTATGATTTAGCTAATATCGCAAATATAAGCAATATAAAGCTATATGAACAGGCAATATACATTATATACATTGTGACCCATTCAGGGGTCGCATTAGTGTGTGTGTGTGTGTGTGTGTGTGTGTGTGTGTGTGTGTGTGTGTGTGTGTGTGTGTGTGTGTGTGTCTGTGTGTCTGTGTAATGGTGGATAAGTCTGTGTAATTATTATAAGCCTCACCACATTCTCTCTCCCTCGCCAGCCTCGAGGGGTGTATCCAGAACGTCAGTATAGGGGAGAGAAGTTTGACTATCAGGGACGCCCAAGTTACGCAGGGCATCAAGGCAGAGTGCCATTGGGCGTACCCATGCCTCAAGAATCCTTGTGTAGACGGGAGTCGGTGTATTCAGGAAGGCACCGACGGCTTTAAGTGCGAATGTGACCTGGCGCTGTGTGTACGACAGAACTTCACCACCGCCTACAAGGTCTTCACTAAGACTACTCTGCCCTTTGATCTGGAGGTGTGTGCACTGCGGCTGACACCTGTTACTGCTCCTAGTCAAACTTTGTAGCTGCTTTTCTACTTTATAACTTACACTGGTCCAATTATATCCTCATCACTGTTATAAATTTTGTTCAAAATGTCCTGTTTACATTGATTGTAAATAATTCCCTTTTTTGTTCATCTAAAAATATCTGAACGATATAATTATTTAAGTAACAATGTGTCTGTATATTAGATTTTTATCTTATATTGTTCATTATGCTTCACGTTTATCTCATATACTTTGCCTGTCTTCAAAGTTCCCTCCTCATTTCTCCTTTATGTAAATACATTTTTTTTCAGTCCTGCCTCCTCGTCCTCTATTCCTGTCCCCTCGTATCCGTTATTTTGAACCCCTCTTCTTAGTTGCTGCTACCTTCATCTGTTCCTACTTTCTGATCTTTTGTCCCTGTTCCTCTTTCATGTTTCCGTTAGAAATTCTTTCAGGTTTGTTTTACGCTTTCTTCGGTTATTCCTATCCCTCTCCTCCATTGTTTCGACCACATGCTCCATTATTTTTTACTCCTTTCTTTTTTCGCACTTCGTCGTTTCTTCCACTTTCTCCGTTTGTAAGTTCTCCTCCATTGTTTCTTCTTTGGTGTTTATACCCCTCCTGCGTTACTTCTACCTCATCCTTCGTTATTAGCACTCCTCGGTTTAGGAAACCGAGTCGATAAATTAAAAACTAGTGTATCATTTGGTATGTTTATTCTGGAGACGTTGAGCCAGCCTGTGGCTGCTTCAGTACAATGCAGAGAACGAATGAGCTAAGGGAATGATTACCTCAAACTCCTCATCTTCCACCTTTCTCTGCATTGGACTGAAGAAGCCACTGGCTGGTTAAATATTCCCAGAATAACGAATGTTGCACAAGTGTCTCATTATAAAAAAGAAGCACAGCAGCAGGCCTACTGGCACATGCTAGATAGGTCCAAATCACACCTATCAACATACACTATTTTTTAAAAACTACACAAGGTTTTAGCTTCAATAATGTTACTCGAGAGTTTGTACCACTCATCCTCAACTGTATTACCAAACTAGTGCTTTCCTATGTCTTTTCAAAACCTCAGTTTTTCCAACTTGAACCCACTGCTGCGATTCCTGTTTTGGGTAAATATTTTTAGTTTGTTATTTTTTACTTTATTTATTCCTGCCCATTTATGCACATCAGTCATATCCCCCTAATTCTACGCCTTTCTAGAGAGTGCAGATTTATTGCTGTCAGTCTGTCGTGGTAGGAAAGCTTTCTGACACATGAGATCAACGGTTATCCTTCGCCTTGACTTAAATTTTCATAGTGTTCTTTGCTTCTCTTCCTGTACTGTTCCTTGACTCTCTATATTGTTCCTTTCCTATCTTCCTATACTGTTTCTTGCCCCTCTTCCTGTACTGTTCCTTGCCTCTCTATATTGTTCCTTTCCTATCTTCCTATACTGTTCCTTGCCCCTCTTCCTGTACTGTTCCTTGCCTCTCTGTATTGTTCCTTTCCTATCTTCCTATACTGTTTCTTGCCCGTCATCCTGTACTGTTCCTTGCTCTCTATATTGTTCCTTTCCTATCTTCCTATACTGTTCCTTGCCCCTCTTCCTGTACTGTTCCTTGCCTCTCTGTATTGTTCCTTTCCTATCTTCCTATACTGTTCCTTGCCCTCTTCCTGTACTGTTCCTTGCCTCTCTATATTGTTCCTTTCCTATCTTCCTATACTGTTTCTTGCCCCTCTTCCTGTACTGTTCCTTGCCTCTCTATATTGTTCCTTTCCTATCTTCCTATACTGTTCCTTGCCCCTCTTCCTGTACTGTTCCTTGCCTCTCTGTATTGTTCCTTTCCTATCTTCCTATACTGTTTCTTGCCCGTCATCCTGTACTGTTCCTTGCCTCTCTATATTGTTCCTTTCCTATCTTCCTATACTGTTCCTTGCCCCTCTTCCTGTACTGTTCCTTGCCTCTCTGTATTGTTCCTTTCCTATCTTCCTATACTGTTCCTTGCCCCTCTTCCTGTACTGTTCCTTGCCTCTCTATATTGTTCCTTTCCTATCTTCCTATACTGTTCCTTGCCCCTCTTCCTGTACTGTTCCTTGCCTCTCTGTATTGTTCCTTTCCTATCTTCCTATACTGTTCCTTGCCCCTCTTCCTGTACTGTTCCTTGCCTCTCTATATTGTTCCTTTCCTATCTTCCTATACTGTTCCTTGCCATTCTTTTTATAATGTTCATTGCCGCTCTTTCTTTACTATTCTTTGGCTCAGTTCCATTACTTTCCTCTGACATTGTTACTTGATCACTCTCACTCTGCACAGTTACTTGACCACTCTGCACAGTCACTTGACCACTCTACACAGTTACTTGACCACTCTGCACAGTTACTTGACCACTCAGCACAGTTACTTGACCACTCTGCACAGTCACTTGACCACTCTACACAGTTACTTGACCACTCTGAACAGTTACTTGACCACTCTGCACAGTCACTTGACCACTCTGCACAGTTACTTGGCCACTCTGAACAGTTACTTGCACAGTTACTTGACCACTCTGCACAGTTACTTGGCCACTCTGAACAGTTACTTGGCCACTCTGCACAGTTACTTGGCCACTCTGAACAGTTACTTGACCACTCTGCACAGTTACTTGACCACTCTGCACAGTTACTTGACCACTCTGCACAGTTACTTGACCACTCTGCACAGTTACTTGACCACTCTGCACAGTTACTTGACCACTCTGCACAGTTACTTGACCACTCTGAACAGTTACTTGACCACTCTGCACAGTCACTTGACCACTCTGCACAGTCACTTGACCACTCTGCACAGTCACTTGACCACTCTGCACAGTCACTTGACCACTCTGCACAGTCACTTGACCACTCTGCACAGTCACTTGACCACTCTGCACAGTTACTTGACCACTCTGAACAGTTACTTGACCACTCTGCACAGTCACTTGACCACTCTGCACAGTCACTTGACCACTCTGCACAGTCACTTGACCACTCTGCACAGTCACTTGACCACTCTGCACAGTCACTTGACCACTCTGCACAGTCACTTGACCACTCTGCACAGTCACTTGACCACTCTACACAGTTACTTGACCACTCTGCACAGTTACTTGACCACTCTGCACAGTCACTTGACCACTCTGCACAGTCACTTGACCACTCTACACAGTTACTTGACCACTCTACACAGTTACTTGACCACTCTGAACAGTTACTTGACCACTCTGCACAGTCACTTGACCACTCTGCACAGTCACTTGACCACTCTGCACAGTCACTTGACCACTCTGCACAGTCACTTGACCACTCTGCACAGTCACTTGACCACTCTGCACAGTCACTTGACCACTCTACACAGTTACTTGACCACTCAGTACAGTTACTTGACCACTCTGCACAATTACTTGACCACTCTGCACAGTTACTTGACCACTCTGCACAGTTACTTGACCACTCTGCACAATTACTTGACCACTCTGCACAGTTACTTGACCACTCCGCACAATTACTTGATCACTCTGCACAGTTACTTGACCACTCTACAGAGCTACTTGACCAACTCTGCACAGTTACTTGGCCTACTGCACAGTTACTTGTTCCTCTCATGAAGTTTTATTTATATTTCAGGTACTGAGGTTGACTCCCATGGAGGTGCAGGAAGGCGGCCAGGAGCTTGTAACCTCACAACACCTTAACCTTGTACTAGACTACGAGAAGGTCAGCACCAGTTATTCTCTTATTATCCTATTATATGTAAGAGGAAAGTGTGTGTGTGTGTGTGTGTGTGTGTGTGTGTGTGTGTGTGTGTGTGTGTGTGTGTGTGTGTGTGTGTGTGTGTGTGTGTGTGTGTGTGTGTGCGCGCGAAAGTGTACTCACCATTTCACCTAATTTTGGTAGTAGGGGTCGATTCATAACTCCTGCACCAGCCTCTTCACTGGTCGCTACTAGGTCACTCTTCCTGCTCCATGAGCTTTATCATACCTCCTTTTAAAGCTATGTATGGGTCCTGCCACCTCTACATCACTTCCCAGACTATTCCACTTCTTGAAAACTCTGTGACTAAAGAAATACTTCCTAACATCAGTGTGTTTCATCCAAGTCTTCAACTTCCAACTGTGGCCCCTTTTTGTTGTGTCCCATCTCTGGAACATCCTGTCTCTGTCTACCTTGTCGATTCTTCTCAGTATTTCATATGTCGTTATCATAACCCTGCTATCTCTTCTGTATTCCAGTGTCGTCAGGTCGATTTCCCTTAACCTCCCCTCGTAGGACATACCCTTTAGCTCCGGGACTATTCTTGTTGTAAACCTTTGCACTTTCTCTACTTTCCTTACATACTTGGCTAGGTTTGGGTTCCAAACTGGCGGTTCATACTCCAATATAGGCGTAACGTACACGGTGTACAGGGTCCTGCATGATTCCTTATTAAGTTTTTCGAATGCTGTTATTAGGTTTGCTATGCGCCCGTATGCTGCAGCAGGTATTTGGTTGATGTGCGCCTCAGGAGATGTGCCCAGTGTCATACTCACCCAAAGATCCTTTTTCTTGAGTGAGGTTTGCAGTCTCTGACCCCCTAGACTACTCCATCTGTGGTCTTCTTTACCTTTTCCCAATCTTCATGACTTTGCACTTGGTGGGGTTGAACACCAGGAGCCAGTTTCTGGACCAGGCCAGCCTGCCCAGGTCCTATTGTAGTTCTGCCTAGTCCTTGTCTGATTGAATTCTTCTCATAAACTTCACAACATCTGCAATCAGAGACATTTCTCAGTCTATTCCTTCTGTCATGTCGTTAACAAATACCAGGAACAGTACCGGTCCTATGACTGATCCCTGTGGAACCCCGCTCGTCACAGGCGCCCACTCTGACACCACGCCACTTACCATGACTCGCTGTTGTCTTCCTGGCAGTGCCTTCCCTGTTTTCCCTGCCTGGTCCTCCAGCTTTTGCACTAATCTTTTGCGTGGGACTGTGTCAAACGCCTTCTTACAGTTCAAGAAAATGCAGTCTACCCACCCCACTCTCTCGTGTGTTACTGCTGTCACCCTGTCATAGAACTCCTGTAGGTTTGTGACACAGGATTTCCCATCCCTGAAACCATGCTGGCTATCATTGATAAGCTCATTACTTTCTAGGTGCTCCACCACTCTCCTCCTGATAATCTTTTCCATGACGTTGCATACTATACGTGTCAGTAACACTGGTCTGTAGTTTAATACTTCGTGTCTGTCTCCTTTTGTCAAAAATTTGGACTACATTTGCTGTCTTCCACTCCTCAGTTGTGGAAAATGTGTTTAAGATTGTTAGTGGTACACAAAACGCTTATGCTTCCTCTCTCAGGGGAGACATGTTATCTGAAGCAGGTACACTCCTACTGAATGAGGAGCCCAGTAGTAAGGAGACAGGCCCTATCAGGAATGTAGGGGGAGACCTGTTGGGAGCAGGGATAGCAGTAAGGGAGGGGGGAGAAGGTGGAGAAAGGGACAGGTCTCATGCAGAGGCACAACCATGCCACCAAGAGTTACAGGAGAAAATAATGGCCATGTACAAATGGGACCCAGAGGCACAGAGGGAAAGGCAATATGAGGAGGAGAGGGAGAAGTCAGTGTTTATTCATGGGCTTCGGGAGAGTGAAAGGAGGGCACACAATGAAAGATGGCAGGAAGAAAAATGAGAGATTGAAAACATCATGAAAGATATAGGTGAAGAGGACATGACTGAGATAGTAAACTTTCAGAGAATAGGAGGGTACTTGAAAGGGAGAAATCGTCCAGTCAAACTGATTTTCACAAGAGAAATGGTTCAGAACAGGATCCTGAAAGAGAAATCATGGCTGAAGATATCATCAACTTACAAGAGGGTGTTCCTAGATCACGACAGAACAAGAACGTAATGACAGCAGCTGAGAGAGAAGATACAGAAACGAAAGGGTATAGGGCGAGAGACAAGGAGAGAGTCATCAAAGGACAACCAGAGAAGGGCAGAGCAACAAGTGCAAGCACAAACAGAACCATCCCCAGAACCCCACAACCAAACATGCAACCCCAACCCAACCCAGAGTCCACACTTACAGCCCCCACCTCACACTACCCTGTAGAATCCCATAGCACACTGCCAGATCCTCCACCCCCAAAAAACCACCCAGAACTGAGTGTTGGAGAGGAACCTGAAGGTATGGTACACCAGTGCAGATGGAATAATGAATAAGTGGGAGGAGTGGCATGAAAGAGTCAAAGAGGCATCACCAGACATCATAGCTCTCACAGAAACCAAGCTCATAGGAATAACAGATGCCATCTTTCAAACTGGATATCAGATCCTGAGGAAAGACAGAGGGAACAGAGGGGAAGGAGTGGCACTGCTCATCAAAAAAAAAATGGGATTTTGATGAGCTGGAGAAAGGAGACAGAAGTGAGAGACTACACAATAGGAACACTTCAGTCTGGAGGTCCAATGGTGGCAATTGCAGTGATGTACAACCCAACACCGAACAGCAGGAGGCTAAGGCAGGAATATGAAGAGATTAATAGAGCAATGGTTGACACACTGGCTGCAGTGGCCAGAAGGGCTCATGCGTGCAAGGCAAAGCTGCTGATTGAGGGTGACTTCAATCACAAGGAATGTGACTGGGAGAACCTGGAGCCACATGGGTGCCCAGAAACGTGGAGGGCTAAGATGATGGAGGTGGTATTGGAAAACCTCATGTACCAACATGTAAGGCACACTACCAGAGAGAGAGAGAGAGAAGAGAGGATGAACCAGCGAGAGTGGACCTAGTATTCACCTTGAGGAGTGCAGACATTGAGGACATCACATATGAAAGACTCACCATGGCCAGTGATCATGTAGTTCTGAGTTTTGAATACATAGTAGAGTTACAAGTGGAGAGAGAAGCAGGAAGGGCTGTATGCATGAAGCCAAACTACAAGAAAGAGAACTACACAAGCATGAAGAATTTCCTGCACAGGGTTCAGTGGGACAGAGAACTGGCAATGAAGTCAGTAAACAAGATAATGGAATATGTGACAACAATATGCAATGAATCTGAGTAGAGGTTTGTACCCAAGGGTAACAGAAATAACGTGAAAGCCAGGGTGAGGCCTTGGTTCACCCAAAAATATAGAGACCAAAACCAAGTGTGCTAGAGAACGCCAAATCTGATCCAAAGCTATTGTGCAGCCACATCAGGAGGAAAAAGACAAGTCAAGGACCAGTTGAT